AACTAGGTTTGAATCTACAGACTATTCATTTATGTGCTTTCGTTTAGCACAACTTCACTCTATCGCCTTTCTCTTTGTTCTATATCGCTCTCCTTCATCCCAAGATTGCACTATTCTTGATGTTATTTCTGATCAAATTGACCAAGCCCTCTCTCTTTATCCATCGGCCAATATCGTCGTTGTTGGTGACTTTAATGCCCATCACACCGATTGGCTTGGCTCTAGTGTCAGTGACTCTGCTGGCGTATATCAGTGACTCTGCTGGCGTATATCAGTGACTCTGCTGGCGTTAAGGCCCTCAACTTTTGCCTTTCTCAATCTCTAACTCAAATAGTCAACTTTCCAACTCGTTTTCCAGACAACCCTAATCATTTACCTTCTCTACTCGACTTATGTCTTGTTTTGGATCCTAGTCAGTGCTCAATTTCTCCACATTCACCCTTAGGTACTTCTGATCACGGTTTGATCTCTCTAAAACTATTATCAAATTCTTCTACTTCATCAGAATCCCCCTATCATCGTACCACATACAACTACCTTAAAGCTGACTGGGACTCTTTCCGTGATTTTCTTCGTGATGGCCCTTGGGTAGAAATCTTTCGTCTTCCTGCTGACAAATGTGCTTCTTACATAACTTCGTGGATTCAGGCTGGCATGGAATCTTTTATTCCCTCTCGACGATTCCAGGTTAAGCCTCACTCTTCTCCTTGGTTTTCCTCACATTGCGCTGCAGCAATTTCTAATCGAAACCGTTACTTCCATATCTATCAGCAAAACAATTCTCCAGAAAACAGACATCTGTTCACTATCGCCAGAAACCATTGTAAAAAGGTTTTGTCTGACGCCAAAACTCGCTATTCCCAGGTCATTAAATCTCGTATCTCATCACAAAAATTAGGCTCTCGAGACTTCTGGAGAATCTTTAACAGTATCAATAATAAGGGCAAATCTGTTATTCCTTCTCTCTTGTATGGTTCAGACTTTGTCACCTCACCTAAAGACAAAGCTGAATTGTTTGCTAAGAACTTTTCATCAATATCATCTCTTGATTCCACTAGTTGCGTTTTACCTGACATAGCCGTCAAACAGGTTGATCCCTTGCTTGACATTCGCATCACTTCAGCTTCTGTATCTAAAGTAATTTCCTGCTTAGACTCTTCAACAGCTTGTGGTCCTGACAACATTCCTGTTGTAGTTTTGCAGAGGTGTTCTCCGGAGCTTTCATCCATACTTTCTAAACTATTTAACAAGTGCTTATCAGAGTCTTGTTTTCCATCATGCTGGAAAGCAGCATCTGTTATCCCTATTTTCAAAAATTCCGGAGAGCGATCTGATTCATCTAACTACCGTCCCATTAGTCTTCTTCCTGTCATAAGCAAGGTTTTTGAATCTTTAATTAACAAACACTTAATCTCTCATCTTGAATCAAATAACTTACTTTCTGACCATCAATATGGATTTCGGTCTTCTTGTTCTACAGCTGATGTGCTAACAGTAATAACCGATAGGTTTTACCGTGCATTAGATAGAGGTGGAGAGGTTAAGGCTATCGCACTTGACATTTCTAAAGCTTTTGATAAAGTTTGGCATGCTGGTCTTCTCCATAAGCTTTCTTCTTATGGTGTAGCTGGTAACGTCTTTAAGATTATTGAGTCCTTTCTTTCCAATCGTAGTATAAAAGTTGTCCTCGATGGACAACACTCTTCTTCACATCCTGTAACTTCAGGGGTTCCTCAAGGTTCAATCCTTGGCCCTATACTCTTTTTAATTTACATTAACGATCTTCCAGATATTCTCACATCTAAGGTGGCATTATTCGCTGACGACACTACCATTTACTCTTGTCATGATAAGAAGCCTACACTCTCTGATTGCTTGGAGGGGGTATCTGAGCTTGAAAAGGATCTCACTTCTGCTACAGCATGGGGCTCACAGTGGCTGGTGAACTTTAATTCAGATAAAACTCAATTTTATTCGGCCAATCGTTATCGTAATAATTTAGATCTTCCTATATTTATGAATGGTAATGTACTAGATGAGTCATCTACCATTCATCTTCTAGGATTAACTCTTACTTCTGATCTTTCTTTTAAACCGTATATCAAATCCATTGCAAAATTAGCATCTGCTAAGGTTGCATCTCTTTATCGAGCTCGACACTTTCTTACTCCAGATTCTATTCTCTATCTCTATAAATCTCAAATCCGTCCCTGTATGGAATACTGTTGCCACATCTGGGGCGGATCTTCTAATGATGCTCTTTCTCTTTTAGACAAGGTGCAAAAACGAATTGTAAACATAGTTGGACCTGCTCTGGCAGCCAATCTCCAACCTTTGTCACATCGTCGTAATGTTGCTTCTCTTTCTCTTTTCTACAAATACTATAATGGGCACTGCTCTAAAGAGCTAGCGTCCCTTGTGCCATCTACTAAAATTCATTCTCGTGTTACTCGCCATTCAATTAAGTCTCATCCTTTTTCTGTGACTGTTCCTAAGTGCTTCAAAAACTCTTATTCTTCTAGTTTTTTTCCTCGAACATCAGTTCTTTGGAATTCGCTTCCTTCATCTTGCTTTCCTGATTCATATAATTTGCAATCTTTTAAGTCATCAGTCAATCGTTATCTTGCTCTACAGATTTAGTCTTTTCTCTTCCAGTAACTTCCAACTCTTATAGTGGTTGCTTGCAGCCTTGTTGGAAGTGAAAATGTTAAAAAAAAAAAAAAAAAAAAAAAAAATATAATGAAACAAATGATTAATTATATATGATTATATTATATAATGATTACATTATATAATGATATGAATGGTTACATTATATAATGAAACAAATTGATTACCAAAACTGCAATTACCTAAAATGCCTATTATAAATCCACTGAAATTCTGATTTAAATGTTTTTGCTGTGTTATATAATTTTTACTAAATACTAAAACTAAAACCATAAATTTTCAAAAAATCATTATAAAAAATCATTTCAAAAAATATTAAATCAATTCCATCTTTAAATATATTTTTCTTATTCTTATTTAAGTTGGATAAGTTACTAAAAAATAAATTTTATCAAATAATAAATATAAATATTGATTTTAATTAAAATTATTCATATCGAAACTTTTAAATAATGATAAAAGAGAAAAATTATTTACATCTATTGTTTCAAGGATACTTTTAGAAAATCAGATAATAAAAGAGTAGGATAAGTCACTAAAAAATGTCTAATTAAAAAAATTAAACAAGTCATAACAGTTATATTAGAGACAGGTGGGTAGAAAATTTCCTTTAGTGTAAAGGAAATTTTCTACCCTCCTGTCTCTTATATAACTGTTATGACTGGTTTAATTTTTTCAATTAGACTTATGTTTTAGTGAAAACTTTTGAACTTCACTAATAACTAATTACTAAAGTTAAGTAATTAGTTATTAGCGAAGTTCAAACCTTGATATTGTAATATTTCAAAAAGTTCATTAACTAATGTACTGGTCCAATTATTTCGAATAATGTACTGGTCCAAATATTTCGAATCTAAAAGTTGTTAATTAAAGATATTGAATTATATTGAACTATCAGCATAAACTCTGTCTTATTAATAGGTTTTCCTTTTGAAAAATATGACTATGCATGAGATTCTGCGATGTCTAAGTCTTTCAAACAGTCAGAACTTGGTTCTTGATATAGTATATCATTTATTATACTTGAAATACTATATCAAGTCCCAAGTATATACTTAGTATATATATATAGTACATCATATACCCAGTTTTTAACTATTTCTTTCAATATCTGTATCAATTTCAATATTTGTATCAATATTAACAAGTAGTTATATGTTTAAAAGTATATATATATAAATTAGCAAGAACCTGTCTATAAGTCGCTTTTCATTAGGTGTTTTTAAAATTCTCCTTGCATCTTTGGGAAGTTCCAAACCTTGATTTGGCACTAATTCAAGAAGATCAATAACTAATGTACTGGTCCCATTATAGAATAGCACAATGTTGTCCAGTAAAGACATTGAATTTAAAGAATTATCAGGATAATTGTTCTATGTATCGTTAACAGGTTTCCCTATTGAAAAATTCGATTCTGCATGAGATGTCTAAATCTTTGAAATTGTTAGAACTTGGTTCTTGATATAGCAATACTATACTAGGTTCTTGATATAGCAATACTATACAAGTAATTGAAAACAAAAATAAAAAATAGCTAGAACGTGTCTATTAGTCGTTGTAAAAAGACTTCTTTTGTAATTGATTATTATTAAAAATGCGTTACTTAAAAATTTTAGGAAGCTTTAGCGCCTGCGTGATATTACTGATTTTTTTTGATTTAATAAAGCATTCTGGATATTTTTTGGACGAAAAAATTATTGGACGCGAAAAAGTCGTTCAAAAGACGTTTAGAATTTTAATGGGACGGACGGACCCGATTTGAACGTCCTAATGACGCCTTTTTTACGTCCCGTGCCCACTGGGTTATCTCACCTCACTAATTAAAAAACACAATCAAGGTGGTTTAATCTACAACCTGTTCAAATAACTTGAGGACACTCGCATCATCTCGTTAATGAGTTCTTCAAGGCTTCTAACCTCAACAACAACATGCAAGCCATCTCTAGTAGACTAAATTTCTTCTCTAACAGAGTAGTCAGCTGATGAAGTTTACTCCCACAAACTGTGAATGTCTCTCATCATCTTAATGAGTTTAGAAATTGACAAACACTTTGGCCTGCACTAGCATTACTAAATTTAGTACTTTTATTCAGTTTATTTTTTCACTGCAACTTATCCTATTATTATTATTATTATTATTATTATTATTATTATTGCTATTATTATTATTTTATTATCATAAGAATATATTTTTATTTATCTATATTAAATATTAACTACTATATATTTTTTTTCCATTAAATAATTGCACATGTATTACTATAATGTCTGAATTCTTTAACTAATAAATAAAGTATAAAGTTGTGTTGAAAAATAATATGAAATTTCAGCTATGCTTAATGAGTGGAGAAATTATTCAAATGAGTGTTAAGCAAAGTTTGATATTTGAAACTGCTGATCTTGAGCAGGCATCACCAGCCACTGTCAGTCGATGTGGTATGATCTATTTGGAACCACACCAGGTAAAATTTAAAAATTTAACATTTAATTATTTTTTGATTTCTCAAATTTGGTTTATGTATTATATTATTAAATGTTAATTTCAATATTTGCCAAAAAAAAATTAATTTTATATTTATTCATTTTTCTTGTTTTTTTGATTTTTTTAATAATTTTTTTCAATTTAGTTTTTTTTTTTAATAAAAAAAATGCATTTTATATAAGGTTTATTTACTTTTTGTTTCAATTTTAACATAAATGTATGTTTCCAGCTCGGTTGGGAGCCACTAATGTTTTCATACTTGCAAAATATACAAGAGTCTTTGAATAAAGAGCAGATGGAACTTTTGCAAGACTTGTTTAAATGGCTGATGCAGCCTTGCTTAGGTAGATTTTTAAATAAAAATTTTCAAGTTGATTTAATATAATTTATCAATACTAAAGCGTCATAGTTTTCTATCATTTCTGCTCTGAGTCATCTTATATCATTTATATCTGTTTATAAATTTTAAGTTGGTTTAATATAATTTATTTATTTATTATTTTATTATTAATTTATTTATATCTGTAACTTTAAAAAAATACTTAAAAGTATAGAGCTTTATAAAAATTACAATTAATAATTTTATTGACAGCGTAAGCAACTTTTTATACCTTGTGGCATCAGTACAATGCTGAAAAGAATAATATTTCTATATATTTTGTGATTTACTGTGAGTGGTTCAAGATCTTAAATAACTGAGCAAATGGTGCAAATCAAAAGCTATCTGACTTGGGAAGATTCAGTTGTTGTTTTTAAAAAATACTTAAGTTTTTAACTTTAAATAAAATGTTTTCTAAATAAAAAGCAAATAAAATAAAAGTTTTCAGAAAAATAAAACAAAGTTTTTTTTTTCTAAATAACTAAAATTTTTCAAATTGGCATCGTTATTAAGTTTAAAATTTTAAAATTTTAAAAACTGTAAAAAAACTGCTATTATTATATGGTTTCAGTTGGAATCATTACATCATCAAATACCTGTTTTAAAAACTGTAAAAACTTGTGGAAAACATATGAGTCTAATTTTATTATTTTTCAAGTAAAAGAACCTTCTGACTTCTCTTTCTTTCATATAATTGTGTTTCTTCTGACTTCTCTTTCTTTTATATAATTGTGTTTCTTCTGACTTCTTTTTCTTTCATATAATTGTGTTTCTTCTGACTTTTCTTTCTTTCATATAATTGCGTTTCTTCTGACTTCTCTTTCTTTCATATAATTGTGTTTCTTCTGACTTCTCTTTCTTTCATATAATTGTGTTTCTTCTGACTTCTCTTTCTTTCATATAATTGCGTTTCTTCTGACTTCTCTTTCTTTCATATAATTGCGTTTCTTCTGACTTCTCTTTCTTTCATATAATGAACACACACTTCCTTTTTCTTAATAAGAGGTTGTCAAATTCCTGTCACAGTCTTGTATGTTCTGCAGAATTTTGAGACTTGATTTGATTAGTTAACAATTGTTTAACTGAATTTTGTTATCTGCTAAAAAATGGTATCTAATTTGTTGACCAATAGTAATTGAAATGTTTTATTGTGCATTAGATAGAAATAATGAGGCAAAGAAATGTTTTTGACATATCTAAGGCTTTTAAAAAAGTCTGGTTCTGGACTTTTTTATGTATGCTTTTTTTATATGGTGTGTATATAGAAATGTTTTCAAATTATTAAGTTTTATGAGATAACACAGGATTACATACATATTAACAAGCTATTTTATGAGAAAAACTGTACATAATTGAATAATTTTGTTTTCAGATTTCTTATCTGCTTACAAAGCCTTGTTTATTTATTATTTTGTTGTTATTTTTGACCAGTCTATAGTTGTACTTTATATTTTATGTACTACTTTGTATTTAGATTTATGGTAGTATATTTTACTTATTTATTCTAGTAATTATTTCATTAAAAATTTTATTGTTAAAATTAACCTTAATGTTTCTGCCCAAACCCTTGGTCAATATATGTACTGAACCACCTTTTATTAATTAATATGAGTCGATATATGTCTATTAAGTTTTTGTTTCATTATTAGATTTCATTAAAAACAACTGTCTGTTACTATGCAGTATGTCAAACATGTTTTTGGTTCAGAATTTTATCAAGCTATACTCATTGTTATTGGAAGAAGTATATCAAAATAAAGAATCAGACAATGCAATTAAGTATCCAACAAGTCAGGTTTGTGTTATGTAAAAAACATTACTTGCTGAATATCCTTAAAAAAATCCGATATTAAAATACTGACTGATATAAACAGAATCTGATAATATATTTTTTAGCTCTTTTTTATTAACAAAACTTTTTGAAAAAAAATAAATTGTATATTTTAAAAATTTTTAGCAACTTTTAACAAAATAGAAGTTATTTTAAGAAAAAAACATTAAGTAGTGTTTAATTTAAATTATAATTTCAAAACTGAAATTATTGGCCAATAGATTTTTGAACAAACCAACTAAGTATATTTTTAAACAGGTTTTTTATTACAATTAATAGTAAATAATTTTTTTCAGATTTTATCCTGGTTGGTGTCCTGCTTTATTTTCTCTATTGTATGGTCTCTTGGTGCATTCATAGACTCAAAGAGTAGAATAATATTTAGTGAATTTTATAGAACACTTATTAATGGACAAGATAAACTAAATCCAAAGCCAAAAAAAGTTTTAAAGGTTGATTTTTTGTATAAATTATTCTAAAATGTCTTTAATATCTTGCATTTTTGTAATATTGTTTGCAATATTTTTTAAATAAAATATTTCCATATACTTGGTAAATATTTTTTGGTTTTAGAGCAATCTTATTCCTGATGCTGGACTTGTTTATGATTATGTGTTTGTTAAACAAGGAAATGGTTCATGGTTGCGTTGGATGGAGACTGTTGATAAAAATTCTCTTGTAATTCCTCAAACTGCACAGGTTTAAACTCAATTTTTAGGTTCAAACTCAATTCTTGTTATTTCTGCAACTACACAGTTATTTTTGCAGATTTAGGTTGTATTTATTTTGTTCACTTTATTTTTTAAATGCATAATCCAGTTTTCTGAAAATAGAGAAAAAGAAGTTTATGAATTTTATTTATCTTAACACATTATATGTGTATTACAAAAGTACTCAATGTTCTTAAAGAACAGAACAAAAATAAATTATTTAAAAAACACTTATCTAACTTGAGCTCCTATTATTCCCCTTTAGTGGGATCATTAGGAAGCTTTCTTCCTGATGATCCTAATAAAAGAGAAACTGACAGAAGAAGCTCAAGTTATAAATGTTTTTTACTAATATATATATATATATATATATATATATATATATATATATATATATATATATATATATATATATATATATATATATATATATATATATATATATATATCAGGCCTTGCGATAAAGCATCGGGCCATGTGAATTTTACATCGTCCAAGAGCGATTTTGGGTGTCGCTAGGGCTATTTGCGTCTAGCAAAAAATTTTTTGTTTGAGTATATTTAAAGATATTTTTGAGCAGATTTTTAATGAAGTAATTTATGATTATTTTAACATTTAATAAAGTATTTTAAAAACCGCACGCAGTTGATATAAAAGTTTGAATTACAAAAAAATTAAATATGCTCATTATTTACCATAAATAATTATTTTTAGATTTCAAAATTATTCCATAGATTTAAAAATATTTATTAACTGTTAGACGTATTTAAAGTATTTAAGAGTAATTTCGAGGAAACATTTTAAAAATTAATAAGCGCAAATAAAAAAAAAAATAAAAGGATTAATATTAAAACGTATTCTACTTGATTCAATAAAAAAGTACAGTTATTAAAATTTTTGTAAAAAGTAACTCACTTAAATAATAACAATTGCTTTTTTTTTAAAAGTTACCGAAACTCAACGAAGCTTGCTCAAGAATAGCTGCTGAAAAATAGAACATCAATAGTTTGATAAGTTTATATAACCTGATTTTGTTTCCCAGTTTCTACCGATGTAAAGCGAATTTCCACAAACACCTTGAAAAAGGCTCAATAAACGTAAAAAATAAAATAAAAATTAATTCTCATATTTAACCACATTATGTTTTCTTTTTTTTATTTTAGCGCACTTTTTATTAAATATTGTTCAGTATGCAAATTTTTTCGCAGAATTATGTCTTTTATACCTATAAGATTTTTATTCTTACATTTTATTTTATTTTACTGGAAATAAAATTCCTTGTAAACATTAAAAAGCTATTCAAAACATTTGTTAAAGTTTTTTAGTAATATGATTGATTGTGCTTATCAACCGCTTTATGAAAATAAATAAAAATAAATGAATAAAAAAATATTATACAAAATCGCTGGTAAAAATATTAGCTATTGTACAGTTTTTAATCATACAATATTAAAATTTCCAGTTTATTACTTGCTGACTTTTTAAAAAGAAAAAATAATTATTTGAAAAACTTTAAATTACATATTTGAGAAAAAAAAAATCAAATATTAGCTTATTTTATAATCTTTTTTAAATGTTTAGTTATGTTTTTTATTTGTTTAGTATAGACAAAACATGTAATTCGTTGAGAAAATAAACAAGTGTTTTTACATTTTGAAAAACGAAACATTCCAAAACATTTTTAAATAATAACATTTCTACATTAATGATTTAAAGTAGTTTTGTGGTAATTAAGTAAATTGGTGCAGTTAATGTCGATAAATATGAAAACCAAATAAAAAGAATTTAATGACGTCAAAAACACGTTGTGCTTATATATGTTTGTATATATATATATATATATATATATATATATATATATATATATATATACATATATATACATATATATATATATATATACATATATATATATACATATATATATATATATATATATATATATATATATATATATATATATATATATATATATATATATATATATATATATATATATATATATATATACATATATATATATATTATATTGTATGATATTTTGTATTTGCAATAAAATACAAAAAACTCTTGAACGTATAAGAGTGCTCAATAATAAATAAATAGGATTTATTTATATTATTTAATAGAGCATTATATTAATTTATAAAAATAAAGAAAACAACTTTTTGAAACTATTAGTACCAAAAAAAGTTGTTTTCTTTATTTTTATAAATTAATACATATATATATATATATATATATATATATATATATATATATATATATATATATATATATATATATATATATATACAGTCATGTGCATGAAAATAGCAGTGGGAGAAAATTATTTATAAAATACATTTAATTTTTTTACTGATGGTTAATTTTGTATATTTTATTCTCTAAATATTTTCTGTTAGGGTTTTTAAATATAAAGAGGTTGGCAATATTGCTGTTTATACATACATGTATCAGAATTTAAATTAAATTATAAAATTTTGCTTTATTAACTGTGCGTTATAATAGCAGTGAATATACACTTTATTTTCTATTAGTGTCTTAAAAGTTGTTTTTACCATCAATTTTTTTTATACATTAAGGTAAGTGTTTGTTCATTAAAATTAAACGATATTTTATTAAGTTTCACAATTTTATTACAGTTAAAGTGGGTAGAGCAAAACATTGTTCCAATGAGAAGCGTCAAATAATTTTAAATATGTTAAAAGATGGTAAAACTTACAAATTCATCCAAGATGCTTTACAATGTTCTGCAAAAATGATTTCCAATGCCAAAAAATGGGCACAAAAAGCGAAATTGCGTGGGGGAAAATTTAAAATGTCATTGAAAACGAACCGTAAAATTATTAGATGTGCGAAGATAAATCCTTTTATGAGTTCCACAGCCATAAAAACGGAATTAAATTTACCAATATCGTCCTCGACAGTGAGAAGACGTTTGATAAAAGCCAATTTAAAAGCCAGAAGGCCCAGATAAACTCCACTTCTAAATAAGAGACAGATTAAAAATCGAATCGCATTTGCTAAAGAGCATCAAGAATGGCTATCATCGAAATAGCGTAATATTCTTTAGAGTGATGAGACTAAAATTGTTTTATTTAATCCAGGTATTCACGAAAAGTTTGTACGAAGACCCCCACGAACAGAATATAATATAAAGTATACCACCAAGACAATAAAACATGGTGGCTGCCAGGTGATGGCATGGGGTTGTTTTTCTTGGTTTGGATTGGGCCCTATTTTTTGGATCAAAGACATCATGGATGCAACTGCTTATGTTAAAATACTGCAAGAAGTCATGTTACCATATGCAAAAGAAGAAATGCCTTTGAAGTGGATCTTTATGCAGGATAATGATCCTAAACACACCTCTCGTAAAGCTAAAAATTGGTTTGTAGAGAATAAGGTTGAGGTAATGAACTGGCCAGCACAATCCCCAGACCTGAACCCGATAGAAAACCTGTGGGGGGATGTTAAAAGAGCAGTATCTTTGTCTAGACCAGCCAATAAAGAGGAACTCTGGAGAGCAGTTGAAGCAGCTTGGAGAGCTATTCCCTTAGAAAGATGTCGTCATCTAATCGAGTCAATGCCACGAAGATGTAAAGCAGTATTGAAAAATAAGGGTCATGGAACTAAGTATTAGATGTATTTTCAAAAGATGAATAAATAGTTTTTCATCAATGTTATATTTTATTTACTTTTTTAATGGTAAATCTGCATTCATTAAATGTGATAAAAGTACCTTTTTTAAAAAAATGGTAGTATGATTTTGTCCATTTAAGTTTAAAAGCTTTTTTAGACTAAATAGTGTCAGATAACACTTAATTATGAAAAATTAACAATTACGGTCCGAAATTATGCATATCATTAAATTTAATAAGGTTTTTTTATAATTTTTTGTGCCACTGCTATTTTCATGCACATGACTGTATATATATATATATATATATATATATATATATATATATATAGATATAGATATATATATATAGATATAGATATATATATATAGATATATATATAGATATAGATATAGATATATAGATAGATAGATATGTTTATATATTTATGTATATATATATAAATAAGCAGCTGTGGTGTAGTTGTTAGATTTCTGGATTCAGATCTGGAGGTCTGAAGCTAAAAATCAAACCACAATTATTTGTGGTTTGATTTTTAGCTTCATTAAAAAACACATGTTTTGACATATATATTGTTAGGTATCTGAGCTAATAATTAACACAGATGAAACAACAAGACAAACTTTTTTTTTGGATTTACTGATTTTAAGAGATGCTCCTATAATGTTTATTGGTAACACAGGGACAGGAAAGTCTGCAATAACCAACAGTTATCTAGTCAAACTTCCTAAAGAAAAGTATTTGATATATAGTATTTTCTTTTCTTTTTTCTTTTTATTTTTTCAATTTAATTACAAAATAAGATAAAAATTTATTGAAATATTTTAGATTTGTTCCAGTAAATTTTAACTTTTCTGCACGAACAACTGCACAGCAAACTCAAGAACTAGTGATGGAAAAGCTTGACAGGTAAAAACAATTTTATATGAGAAGATTATATTGTTATTTTTTTGTTATTTAACCTTTAATATTAATTACTTTTAAAAATGTTTTTGAATATATGTTATTTGACAGGCGACGTAAAGGTGTATACGGACCACCACCCGGTAAAAAGTGTGTTTTGTTTATTGATGACATAAATATGCCAGCAAAAGAAAAGTATGGTGCTCAACCTCCAATTGAGCTTCTAAGACAGGTATAATATTGTATAGAATTTTTTTTATATACCTGAGTTTTAAAAGAGCTTAAATTTTCTGAAATTTAATTGAAATTAAATTGTGAAATTTATACAGCTCATCAGATTGAGCTATGCAAATAATTTTAACAATTTTTAACTTTCCAGTTATTAGATCAAAAGAACTGGTACAATTTGAAAGATACTTCAACTATAATTTTAGAAGATATTGTAAGTTAAATAAAATTAAGTACAAAATTTTGAATTATTTTTACATTGTGTTAAACTTTTTTGTAATAATTATTTTAGTTGCTTATAACAGCAATGTGTCCCCCTGGAGGAGGAAGAAATGAAATTACAAGTCGTTTTATGCGACACTTGAATGTTATTTCTGTTGCTGATTTTGATGATAACACACTTACAAAGATTTTTTCCACTATCTGTGATTGGCATTACGGAAGAGATTTTGAAGCAGATTTTCTTCGACTTGGAAAGGTGAACAATTTGTTGTAAAAATTCTAAAGCTATATTTTTTTATGATTTTACATTCAAGTAATATTTAGGTTACTTTTTTAAATATATAATGTTTTTTTATATATATTAATTATGAATAAAAAAACTGATTATAATTTTATTATATTTTATAGCAGGACTTACATTAATAACAATATTGTAATAATTTCTGAAGTAATATATCCTGTATAAATATTTGTCAAATGAATAAATAAATATATTTTTTTATAAATTATATTTTTAGATTATTGTAAACGCCACAATGCAAGTTTATAAATCAGCCATGGCTAATTTTCTTCCTACACCATCCAAATCACATTATGTATTTAACCTTCGTGATTTTTCTCGAGTCATTAGAGGCATACTATTAGTACCTAGTACCCATTTACAGGATACTAATAAGCTTATTAGATTATGGGTTCATGAAGTCTATCGAGTTTTTTATGATCGACTTATTGATGATTCAGATAGACTATTTTTCTTTGATTTGATTACTGACACTACAAAAAAGCAATTTAATAAAGAACTTGGCACTCTAATGAAACATCTTGTACCTAGTGGACCTATCACAGATTCTAGCATTAGATCATTGTTTTTTGGAGATTACATGCCAAGCAATTCTTCTGAAAAAATATATGATGAAGTAACAGATCTTAGTTTATTGACATCAAGGATGGAAAGGTGTGTATTTACCTTTTTTTGTGTTTTTTAAAGATATACATTGCTTTTGAAAAAAATATGAAAATTTTGTTGCTTAAAGGATATTTGAACTACCATAGTTTAGAAACCAAAGAAAATATATTTTAAAACTTTTATTTGCTAGAAAAATCTTTTTTAAACAAATTTTGCTTACTAAATATGGATCTTATTAGTAAATGACTAATATTTTGCCTTTCCAAGGTCAAATAGATTTAATTGGATTTAAATCAGGTGGTCGAGCTGGTCAGGGACATAAATCTACTTTTTTTTCTTACTTTTTTGATCCTTTTACTGTAAGAGCTGTGTGGGCAGGCACTAAATCTTGTTGAATTGGCACCATTCTTTTTGATCAATTAGCATTTCAAACCATGCAATTTTCTAGCGCCTCTATATAAATATTTTAGATGATTCAGTCTGTATAAATGTCACACTACTCTGTTAAAATTAAAATAGGCCTAATACCAACACAGTATGTCCAATTGCCACTACTGCATCATATATATATATATATATATATATATATATATATATATATATATATATATATATATATATATATATATATATATATATATATATATATATATATATATTGTCTTTTTTAATATTTGATTTTATCTTTTTTTTAGTTTTTTAGAGGACTATAATCTGATGAGCAAAACTCCAATGTCACTTGTTATGTTCAAGTTTGCCATTGAACATGTTTCAAAAGTAGCTCGTATTCTGAAGCAAGCCAATGGCCATGCTTTATTAGTTGGTACTAATTTTATTTAATACTATATTTTTAGCCAGGTTTTTATTGATTAGATAGTTTTGATAAAATGTATGATTGATTGATCTGAGTGATTATAAAGCAGTTATTATGGAAACAATGAAAATTGTTAAAAATATTCATTTTAATTTATTTATTTAATAATTAAAAGTAGTTTGAAAATCTTTGATCATAATATAAAAATTTGGACTTTAGGTGTTGGAGGTAGTGGCCGTCAAAGTATTGCAAAGTTAGCAACTTTCATTGCAGATTTTGTATTGTTTCAAATTGAGATTTCAAAAAGTTACAACAAAATTGATTGGCGCAATGATCTTAAAAAGGTTTCATTAGAAAATCTTTTAGTTATTTTTTCAAAACAAAATGTGGAAAAATTTTATTTGTGTTATAATTTTAGCTGCTAATTTTATCTGGAGTTGATGGTAAACCAACTGTTTTTTTGTTTATTGATAACCAAATAAAAGATGAGCTGTTTGTTGAGGATATCAACATGATTTTAAATACAGGCGATGTGCCAAATATTTTTGCAGCTGACGAGAAAGCTGATGTAATTGATAAAATGCAAGGAATAGCGAGAAATGAAGTAATTAAATTGTTTTTTTTTAAATTTTTTGTTTACTGTGTTATTATCAGTTATCATTATTTATTATGAGTTGTTTTCCTTTTTTTTATCATCATTCTAGGGTAAAAAAATTGATTCTACTCCATTAGCAATGTATAATTACTTCATTGATAGAGTAAAAGCAAACCTTCACATAGTATTAGCAATGAGCCCAATTGGAGATGCTTTTAGAAATCGTTTAAGAATGTTTCCTTCACTTATTAATTGTTGCACTATTGATTGGTTTCAGGTAATTTCATTTATACAATTAGAATCTCTAGTGGACCCAAATTTATAGTTAGAGGGGTAAGTAAAATAAGGGGCTGTTTTAGTTTTTAATAATAATATTCAAACTTTTTAAATTTATTCACATAAAAAAAATTTTTTCAATCTTTGATTTAATTTGTGATTAAGTTTGTGATTACACACAATGTTTGTTATATGCAAAAAAAACAGAACACTGAAAATTCTTAATGTGTAATTTTAATAAATATAAATATTTCATAACACTGTGGCAATTTACTGTTATAGAGTGTTAGCCATTCTATCATATATTGAATTTAAATCAGTGTATATATTGAGAGTTAGTTTGTTGGTATATAATATAAGTTGACTACTTACTAAAATATAATATTTGTAGCAAACATTGTAACCATGACAACTATAATATAAGATTTAGCATCTAGATTTAAATTAAAGACCAAATTAAAAGAATTATAAAATTTTAAGATTTTTTAGACCAACAGAAGACCGACGATAATTTACAAAATTTGAAAATTGATATTCAAAAATCAATAAAATTTCAATCTTATATATTGAAATTGAAATCAAGGAAACAACATCAGTGCTAGTTAAATAAGTAAAGACTCTTAATTTTAAGTTGTGATTTAATCAGCCAAAAAAATATAAAAATCTGTTAATCTTGGTTTAATCTAAACGCAACATAATCAAAAAATTTTCGCATCAAAGAGGTAAATTGAACATTTAATGGTAAAATATGGTTTTAGATATAATATTCAAAACAATAAAATATTTAGTCTCAGTTATCCATGAATAATAATTTCAATTCAAATACAGTAGTTACCAGACCATGTTTTTAAATCTGAAACTAAAGTGTTTAAATAATTTGATAACTATATAAGAAATAAACAGCCAATACTTCTAGTCTTAAAGTGTTGTCAATAAATGAGGCTTGCAACTGGAACAAAATTGATGAAGCCAAAAGGCTTGACTCATACAAACCTAGTACCTTTTTTTTCTGAGTCTTGATTAAACAGATGTCTCAATTAAACAAGTATTGTAAATATAACAAGCTACAATTTTTTTAGGTGAAATTGAGATTAAAAAAAAACAAATTACGCCTAAATTACACTAAAGGCAACAAAATTAAAAAATCCCTGGTTAAGCTGCAAAAAAAGCATGTATTAATAAAAAAGAAGTGAAAAACTGGTGTACAATGATTGAAAGCATGAATATAACAAAATTAAATTGTTTGTTAAAAAAAACATTTAATTTTGTCATTATTAATTATAAAAAGTTGATCACTTATGATGCAAAATGTGATCCAAAGTTTTGTTAATGAATTTATAAAAAGCAAGTAAACATTTAAAAGCCATTAACAAATTATAAAAACATTTGTCATTAGTTAAACAAAAATAGCTTACACCTTGTATGATTATTTTAATTTTGTTTTCACACCTGAATGATTTCAAAAAAATATCTCCAACTATGTTTGAAAAAAGCATGAATTGGCAGATACAGTAAAATAATGTGACTTGAATGTGTTAAATGACAAGTTGATGGAACCAAGATTCGCTGCTACCTAGACACTTTTCCATTTTTGATGATGGAAAAGTGGATTTGTGCAGACAGAGAAGGTCCAACTTTTAAATAGCGTTTTTAGACCTTGTTTGGTAGAGAAAGAGCATTATTAGAAGAATCAGCCCAAATATGACAACAGTATTCCATACAGGAGCTAATAAGAGATTTGTAAAGGTAGAAAATGGAATCAGAAGTAAGAAAATGGCTAGATAAAGTTAAACAACCTTAGCAGATACTAGCATTGCAATAGATTGAATATATGGTTTTCATGAGAGGTCAATCGGGTATGATAGTCTAAGAAGTCCTAAAAAAGAAAACTTAGTGAGAGATTTGCCATTGATTAACACAAAATGTTGACAATATTATGTGGTGGTTGTCTGCATTAAATAACTTTTGTTGGAGTTTTGTTGGAATTTAAAGTTCTGAAGCCACTGAAAGCCCCGAGCTGTTTCATAATAGAAATCAGGTTCAAGACTGTTATGAGCAATTGAAAAGAAAAGAATTTTTGTCAAGAAGAAGTTGGGTTTCGACGATGAATTTGATAATGGAAATTAAAAAATTGGGTTTGGACGATGACTTTAATAATAAAAATAAAGAAATTGGGTTTCGACAACGAATTTAATAATGGAAATAAAGAAGTTGGGTTTCGAGGATGACTTTTATAATGGAAATGAAAAAGTTGAGTTTCGATGATAACTTTAATAATGGATATGAAGAAGTTGGGTTTCAATAGATGACTTTAATAATGGAAATGAAGAAGTTGGGTTTTGATGATGACTTTAATAATGGAAATGAAGAAGTTGGGTTTCAATAGATGACTTTAATAATGGAAATAAAGAAGTTGGGTTTCAATAGATGACTTTAATAATGGAAATAAAGAAGTTGGGTTTCAATAGATGACTTTAATAATGGAAATGAAGAAGTTGGGTTTTAATAGATGACTTTAATAATGTGTTTAAAAAGAAATAATTAAATAATCTCAAAAACTTTTTCAAATACACCAAATGAAACAAACTTCGGATAAAGACCAACATGCCAAACTTAATCAAAAGCTTTTGAAATGTCAATGGAATTAGCGCTTGCCTTGCTGCCTCCATCTCATCCCATCACCATCAATAAATTTAAATTAACTAAAAAAAATTTTATGTTTGATTGTTATATTATTTTTTATGAATTTATGTTTGATTGTTATACTATTTGTATTATAAAATAAAAAACAGTGATAGAAATTTAAAAAATAAAAAACAGAAATATAAATCACCATAACTTTATAAATGCGTTTTATAGGCATGGCCTGATGATGCATTAGAAATGGTAGCAAAAGCGTTTTTTAAAGATATCAATATAGAGCCAACTGTTCAAAATGCTGCAGTTCAAATGTGCAAATATTTTCATGAAAGTGCCTGTAGACAATCAGAAAAGTATGTTATAAATGTTATTTTTATTCATTTTGATTTTTTTTAATTAATTTCATTTATCCTAACATAAACAGTTACTAAAACAAAGCAATGATAAGTTGATTTCTTTCCTATTTCTGAAACATTAGCATCAATGTTAAGTTAATTCAAGTTAAGTATAGAGTGTCTCAAATTGTATTTGGTATTATTTAGATTCTTTCTTCTTTCCTATTTCTGAAACATTAGCATTATTAGTTTTCACTCATAGTGAAGTCGTTTTGTTTGTTAGCAATGATTCAATGTTGTTTTTTCTTGCTGAAGATGTTTTACTATGAAATAAAATTAAATAAAATAATAAAAATTAAAAAAAATGAAATAAGAAAATAAATTTTTTTATTATAATTTAGATACTTACACATATTAAGAAGATACAATTACGTTACTCCTACTTCTTATCTTGAGTTGCTTCAAGCATTTAAAAACTTGCTTCATGTTAAACAAGATGAGATACAGTCACTCAAAAGTCGATATGTAATTGGCTTAGAAAAACTTGAGTTTGCAGCATCTCAAGTTAGCATTATGCAAGAAGAGCTAATATCACTGCAACCAAAGCTTGTTGAGACTTCAGAAGAAACTAAAAAATTGATGACTAAAATTGCGCAAGACACTGTTGAAGTTCAAGCAAAGAAAGAGGTTTTCACTTTTTACATTTGTAAAAATAGAAGTAATCATTGTTATTTTTTTCTTGTTATTTTTTGTTATGAGTTGTAGACCTTATTACATTATTTTTATTGCATAGTTTTTACTTTTTATTATTATTTATTTTATGTTATTATTTTCTTTAATTAAATTAGTTATAATTAAAAATTAGTTAAAAATTTTTTTAACTAAAAAATAAATATTGAGAAAAAAATACTTTAGATTGTGTCTGCAGATGAAGAAATAGCTAACAAAGCAGCTGCCATAGCTCAAGGAATTAAATCAGACTGTGAAAGTGATCTTGCTGAAGCTATTCCAGCCCTTGAAGCTTCAATTGAGGCTTTAAACACTCTTAAACCAAGTGATATTAGTCAAGTAAAAACTATGAAAGTATGTGTTTTTAAATTGTTTTTTTTTTTTTTCTTTTTTTTTTTTTTTTTCAATTTTTTATTTCTAATTTATTTAATTTGTTTTTTTATTTTATTTGTTATTTAATTTGATTTTATTTTATTTTTATATTTAATTTGTTTTTTTAATTTGTTTTTTTTTCCTCTAGAATCCTCCTAGTATAATTAAGTTAGTGATGGAAGCTGTTTGTATCATGAAAGGTATTAAACCAGATCGAAAGAATGATGCATCTGGTGCTGGAAAAATTGATGACTATTGGGGACCATCTCAAAAAATACTAAGCGATTTAAAGTTTCTAGATCAACTGAAATCTTTTGATAAAGATAACATTCCACCAGCCATTATGAAAGTCATAAGAACAAAGTAAATTGATTGTTCTATCAGAATATAACTAAATGATTTTAACAAAGAAAATAGTATAAAGCAATTGAATGAAACTGTTTTAAAATGTAGATCACAGAAATATGCTAAGGTACAACATAGGAGACATATCTCCTGTGTTGTACCATGTAATATATCTGACATATATCTTTAAGTTGATTTTACAAATTTTTAAATTAAATTCAAGTTTATGAAAAATTTTATGTTTACTTCTGGTAATAAAAGATGGAGATTTCTTATGATTTTAAATTGATTCAACTCGTAAACATAAAATCATTTATTACATTTAATCAGTAATCAAAAATTAATCTTACCTTTTTTAATTTGATAAAAAACTTTTTTTTAGCCTCTAAGTTGTTGGTTTTAACTGAAAAAATTTAGAGGATGGAAAAACAAAAAGTTATTTTTATTTGCATTTCATTTCATTTTAGATACATCACAAATGATCAGTTTGTTCCAGATATAGTGAAACAAGCTTCTGAAGCTTGTGAGGGGCTTTGCAAGTGGGTGCGAGCTATGGAAGTGTATGACAGGGTTGCTAAAGTATAAAAGAAGAACATTGTTTCAAATATTTTCATGCAAAAACTTATTAAGTAGAATGATTAAGTAATGATTAAACATTTTTTAGGTTGTTGCACCCAAGAAACTCAAACTTGCAGAAGCAGAAAATGAGTTGCAAATGCAAATGACAAAGCTTAATGAGAAACGTCGTGTTTTAAAAGAGGTTGTTTTTTTTTACTATTTAAAAGTCAATAGAAATATAATATGCAGTATGAATATATTTAAAGTTGTTCAATTATTATAATTAAGTTGATATAAACTTTTATCTAATAAAAATTTTATAAATATATTATAATTAAGATTTAAAAATCAAGGTATCAGACAAGCTACAAAATTTGCATGATGAACTTGATTTAATGACTAAAAAGAAAGAAGATTTAGAAGCAAACATTTCTTTATGTGAAAAAAAGCTAGAGCGTGCAGGCAAATTGATCGGTGGTTTGGGTGGCGAAAAAACTCGTTGGACAGAAACTGCGTTTCATCTTGGAGAACTGTAATCATTGTTTTAAGTTATTTTTGAATGAATACTAAATGAATTTTTGACATATGACATTAATCCCTGCACCTTACTGATTTGATTCACAAATCAAGTGGTGTTTTATGAATCGAATTTGTGTTCCTTGTAGAACCACACTTAACTTTTTTGCAAGTGATGAGCATATATGTTGCTTTGTGCAACATCCATGCTTATAAAAGTTTATGTTTTAAAGTCAATTTTAGAGACGGTTGTTAGTATAACCTTCAGTACTATACTCTTTTCTATGCTGTATTGTTTGTCTAATGTTTTTTAAAAGAGGTTTTTTGTTTTGTTTTTAGTTCCACCAGAATTTTTGGTGATGTTTTAATGTCTTCAGCCGTTATTGCATACTTGGGTGCTTTTACAGTTGAATTCAGAAATGTTGAGTATTGTTATGATATTTAATAGTATAAAAGTTATAAATATATATATATATATATATATATATAGGCTTCGGCAGGAATAAAAACCGTATGGGCTATGAAAAGCCCGTCTTAAATAGACTTAGCGGGCTGTGAGGGCCGCCCATCTAGATGGTCTTGCACGGGCTTTTTTAAACTTTAAAAAAAAATCTAAAGTTTGAACTTTTTTTTTTTAAATTTGTTAATTTCTCTCCTTCTTTTTGAATGAAAATGTCATTGAATATTAAACATTTTGTGAATTGCACTAAAATAATATGTTAGAACGCGATTAACTGTTTAAAATGCTTAATTACTTAAGTAATTAAAACACTGCAGTAAATGAGTTGGATAATACTTAAAACTAAGATTTCAATAATTGTTTTTCAAAGTTTTCACTTGCACAGATCTAATTTCGTTTCATGTGGGTTAGTTGTTTTATGGTTGTTTTTGTTTAGATTTCTTACTCGAAGGAACTTTATTCAGTTTTTTATGTTGTTTTTTTTAATCTTCATTCCAGATAATATCTGGCAGATATAGTCAAACGAATGAACGTGAAAACGACGGGAAAAATCCTCGAAACAACCATGGCGTTTCATCACGTTTCCTTATTCAAGCATCCTAACGTGTTTTTTTACTGAAGTCTTTTTGAGTATATTTATATATTATTGTTTTATTCAAGTATTCGATTAAATTATACAGGTTTTTATCGTGCTTTTTTAGGTCATTCGTTTCTCTTATTCTTTGTGAATAAAAATACTACATAATATTTTCAAAATCTAATATTTTTAATTATTCAGCAAATAGTTTGAAATCTTTTTTTTTTTTAACCTTGAATCAATGAGCTCGATTGTTTTAGAATTGTTTGGTATTAGCTTGGTAATATACGTAACTATGTTATTTTTCAAATTCAATTATTTATATACTCTTGCATTCTATTGGGCGTGCAAATTAAAAACTTAAACTGTTATTTATATTTTTATAACTTTGCTTTACCTATGCCTATCCTGATCGGAAATAGTTATTCTGATACGTGAATAAAAAATTTGAAATCTAATTTCTTTTAATAAAATAAGTTTTTATTTAGAAGTACTAATAATTTCTTAAGATACCGGGGCTTCCGTTACTTTATATACAATATAAGCATGTATATAAGCGTATGTATGTTGCTAGCTTTAACGTTCGTAGTGCCCTCTATAAATGCTAATGCTTTTGATTTTGCCAGACCTTTTAACTCGCAAAGCAATTCTTTTTTATATTTTATACAAACCATACACCATATCTTCACAACAAAAATTGTTCCATTCTCCACCTCAGTTTATTTTCCACAGACTCCATCTTTACCCCAACTCAAAAATGTTGCTAATGTAACTCTTCTACCAGATGATGCCATTACTATCTTTACTGAAAAACTTGAATAACTTGAAAAACTTGAATGACTGGATAACTTGAATAACTTCATAACTATAAAGCAACACTATTTATATTATCTACAAAAATTGATTAGACGTTTGTTGATTTTTAATGAGATATTTCATTTTCAATAACGAGTTATATAATTGCATATTAAATAAACTGCCGTCTCTTTAAGAAAAAACGTGAAGTTAGCGCGGAAGTTAACGCGGAAATATCACTTTAAATGTCTTTAAAGTAAGACAAACTAGTTTATCGGAAAAAAGCGAAATACATGGATAATTAGTTTATTATCGTTATTATTATAAACATTGAAAAACCAAAACAACATAATACTTCTTGTGCATCACATGTGTATATTTCCCTATTTAATATAATAGTTATTAAATTTTGAACATAATATGGTAACTGTTTGGTATTATATCAAACAGTTATCGTCGTTTAAAAAACTGTAAGATTTAGTTATATTATTTTCTACATCATGTTATACAATAATGATTAAATTATTTAATTTTTATATTTAAATATAAACAATTATAAGTTGGAGTTTGCTATCCATATTAAAATTATGTCATGCGAGAAGTTTTAAATGAGTATCTTAATAAAAAAACATCAAAATATTCATCTTTTTTTTTTACACAAAACTTATGTTTCAGACGGGCTTTATTTCGCCCGTCTAAACTGACTTAGACGGGTGCGGAGACAGACACGGGCTATAGCCCGTCATTCCTTCCGAAGCCTATATATATATATATATATATATATATATATATATATATATATATATATATATATATATATATATATATACATATATATATATATATATATATATATATATATATATATATATATATATATATATATATATATATATATATATATATATATTTATATATATATATATATATATATATATATATATATATATATATATATATATATATATGTATATATATGTATATATATATAAAATTATAAGATATATATTATTATGTGTAGTAATACTGCAGGAAGAATTTTTGCTACATTGTTTTATTTTTACTTTTTTAATTTATTTTCTTTTATAAAGAAGCAGTTTTTGATTTAGGAATGTATTTCTGATTGGTTAAAACTCTGTGCTAAAGTCAAGATAAAATGTTCTCCAAGTTTTACATTGACTTCAACTCTTGGCGAGCCACTGAAAATTCGAGAATGGCAGATTGCAGGTCTTCCTGTTGATTCTTTCTCTGTTGATAATGGAGTCATTGTAAACAGCACAAGACGCTGGCCCCTTATGATTGATCCTCAAGGTTTGATTTGTTTTCAAATATAAATGTTTGTTTCTCTCTATATGTACATTACGGTATTTTTTAAATATATCATACATTTAATTTTATTATGATAAATATGGTATTTTATTATGCTCATTATTGTACTTAAGTTTAATTGTCTATTTTGCATTATTTCGCCCAAGATCAAATTTGTGCAGATAGTAGTTTAAATGAATATTTTTATTATTTTAACTTTAAGATAAAATAAGACAGCAATAATGTTTTTAAAATAGTGTATTATTTGGAACTTACTAAATCTGTATTTTATCTTAGAAGTTAGATTCTAGTGACTTTTGGAAAGTCTTAGACAATTAACAAAAACAAGTCTAACATTCCATTTCTCATACATCAATCTTATTCTCTCTCTAAAGGAGAATGTAGAACTAAGACCTTTGTTGTTTGTTCATTAGACCAATAATCTTCCTGATAATTTTACCTCTAAATTGATTTGCTGATGATACAACTGTATACTCCTGTTTTTACAAAAAAATATAAATTTTTGGTTGCTTAGAACAGGTAGTTGATCTCGAATCTGATCCCCTTTTTGTGAGAGGTTTGGGTTTGCAGTGATTAGTCAATTTTAGCCAAACTCAGTTTACTGCTAACATTTATTGCAATGTTGTTGACATTACACTATTCACTATTTTAATAATGTTTCATAATAATTCTCAGAATATTTTTCGCTGTTAATCTTGCTGTTAATCTCGTTGTTAATCTTGCTCGCTATTTCCTTACTTTTATCTTTATATAAAATAATGTTGTCTTTTGAATTGAGTAGCTTATATATAATTCTGTTGTTATATTTGTATTGTCCTTATTTCTTTTCAACGTGCAAGATTCTATTATAAATATTGTTGAACCTTGTCTAGCTGAAAAGGTTTAGTCTTTATTCCATCATTGTATGGTTGCATCTTTTTCTCTTTTCTACAAATGCTACCATAGTACAAATGCTGCCATGACTCTATCTATATGCCAAAACTTTGTTTCATGTAAAAATATTATTTATAAGTAAAGTTGCAATCTTTTATTTTAGCTGTTCTTTGTGCTCAAAAAACTCTTGATCGTTTTTTCCTTTTTTTCTCAATCATTAGTGCTTCAGAATTTTCTTTTGTTTTTTTTATGTTTTCTTAACAATTAAATTTTCAACATTGCAGCCAATCTACCTGAAGGACAAGTAATCTTTACTTAACTATAATCTATCAACTCTGATAGCTCATTAGCCTTATTCACTGCAGATAAATCTTGTTTATTCTAATTCAACTCTATATTTATTAGTTTTGAATATAGCAAGAGTGAGCAATATAAAAAAATCAAATATGCAACTAATAGTTATGATAAGTTGATTGCTCATAAAGCAAGTGATTGTGTAAATATATAAATAGCAAATCAGCAAATAAAAGCTATATTAAAGAAGTCATAAATAAAGATGGTACCATTGTCGTTGAGAACACAAAAATGCATGGAATTTGAATCAGTACAGTAGTGGTGTAGTGGCAAAGCGCTTGCCTCATAAGCAAGAAGTTCCGAATCTGATTCCCACCACGTCTCTAGTAGTACCAAATGTGTTTCTCTGTGTGGTGGACTTGTTTGTCAAGATTTATTTTTCTGACTTATAGAATTGCGAGAGGGTCTTAACCATAATTAAAGTAGCCTCTTTGTCGGTAGTGGCTTTCAGGGCCTTGGGGATGTGAATTAACATTGAAAAAACTTAAAAATGTGCAGTTACGTGCAACTAAGTTGATACCTGAAATAAGACACTTATCATGTGAAAAAAGTTTAATCAAAATGAAATTAACAAAATTGCCCAAAAGAAGAAAACGTGGTGGTTTAATTCAATTTTATAAAAATTTTCATCATATTGAATACATCTCATGGTATAATTCACCTAATTTTTTTGCATCATTATTGTTGGACCAGCTGCCAGTATAATAAGAAATCAATTTAAACATAGTTTACATGTTCAACAGATAAGTTGTCAAACTCAAGAATATTTATTCAATAATCGAATAGTAAAAACATGGAATAGTTTACTAGAATCAACCATCATGGAATAGTCTACTAGAATCAACCATCATTGAATAGTCTACCAGAATCACCCATCATGAAATAGTTTACCAGAATCAACTATCATGGAATAGTCCACCAGAATTGACCATCATGGAATAATCTACCAGAATCAACCATCATGGAATAGTTTACCAGAATCAACCATCACGGAACATGGCATTAAATCTCAACAGCAATACTTGAAAAAGCTTATATCATTTTTTTTTTTTTATAGTTTCTTAAAAAATTAAAAATTATACATTTAATTTGCTATACATTTAAATTTAAGCAAAAAAAAATTTTAACTATTTTATTTTGCCTCATTTTACCCTAGTATATAAAAAATATTTTCCAATGTATTACTAGAAATGATTTCAAATTTATTAATATAAATTATAATTATAATGGTTACTTACAATTATATTAAGTAAAATGTTCTAGTATTTTAATTTTATTATTTTATTCAAATTGTTGTTCAGGTCAAGCAAATAAATGGATTAAAAATCTTGAAAAAGCAAACAAATTAGAAGTTGTCAAAATGTCAAGTTCAAATTATGCACGTACATTAGAAAATGCTATTCAGGTTCTTTTATGGTTTTTTAAGTTCTCTTTTTCAGGTCCTTATTTTTTAAATTTTCTTTTTTTCACATCCATTTTTTTGATCATTTTGATTTTCTTTTCCTTAATTTATAAGTCCATAATTTTTTTTTTACTTTTTTTTTCTCTTGCTTAATTTTAAAAGTTTTACTTTAATTTTTTCAGTTCGGGCATCCTGTGCTACTTGAAAATGTTGGCGAAGAGCTTGATCCAATGTTAGAACCTGTGTTGCTGAAGTTAACATTTAAACAAGGTGGTATTGAGGTATTACTTAATTTCTAATCTGTATCAGATTTTAAATTCCACTTCTGAACATAACAAATAAACAATTATATTTATTGTAAATTAGTATATGAAACTTGGAGAAAATGTTATTGAGTATTCAAAAGATTTTAAGCTTTATATTACAACACGTTTGCGCAATCCTCATTATCTACCAGAAATTTCAGTAAAGGTTGAATTCTTTTGGTTTTAAATTGTCTATTATTTTGAAGTATTAAATTTATTGTAGTTAATAATATTATGAGTATGGTTAATTGTATAATTCCATGTGTACAGACAATACATTTTTAATGTTTTTGTTATTGTTTAGGTTACATTGCTGAATTTTATGATTACACCATTAGGACTGGAAGATCAATTACTTTGCATTGTAACAGCCAAGGAAAAACCAGAATTAGAAGAACAAAAGAATCTTCTTGTTCTAGAGAGCGCTTCAAACAAAAAGCAGGTATTTATTTGCAATCAATCATATTGTACAAATATTAGATACTCCCCAGAGAATATCTGATTTTTACATGAAGAGTAGAGAGCTGGAAAAAAAACATGGCTCTGGTTACAGCTGAAATTATATTGGACTTATGGTTTTGACTTCTGTTTTGGTTTCATCTTTTTTGCAAACTTTTTTTTTTCTATTTCTCTAAGTATAATAGTTTAAGTTGTTTTATGAATTATGAATTTAGAACTGAAAATTAGCGAAATCAAACAAATTATGTTTAGTTGTGCAAATATTTTTGAAATTTTAGATCCCAGTTGAAATAATCATTTAAAAAGTTGACATAATATCTAAAAAGTTGAACTGAAAATTCAAGTCAAAAAAGCCAGCTATTTTTTAATGACTTTGCTAAGGCTCAGAATCTTTTCAGCTATGGGTTAGAATCTATTCAGCTATGGCTCAGAATCTATTTAGCTATGGCTCAGAATCTATTCAGCTATGGCTCAGAATCTATTTAGTTATGGCTCAAAATCTGTTCAGCTATGGATCAGAATCTATTCAGTTATTGCTTGGACTCCTAATTTTTACTTCTGAAAGTTTTTAAAAGTAGTTCATATTTTTAACTTTATTTATATAGAAAAACAATATTATATACTGATAAACCTTATCATATAGAATGATAATAACAATGATAATAATAATAAAAATAATAATAGTTACAATAATAACCTAATAACTCAGATTCAATCATGCAGTTATGGCCAAAAGTCCTATATAATTATGTAGTTGTCAAAGAAAAAATATATATTATATATGTTCTATATACAATAAATTTATATAAATCATTAAAGCTACATTATATGTTAAATGAGCACAATTAATAATTCTAAATAAATCAGCAAGTCTGAACAAATGTTTGCTGCACATTTACATGATAACAATCAGTGCATCGTGTCAACAGATGACATCAATCCAGACAAATCCTGTGGAAGACCAAGAATTACCAATCCTCAAACCAAGAATGTGATACAGTGTTTGGCTGTGAGGGGTATACAGATTTCAAGCTCAGAAATTTATAATCAACTGCCTTTTAGTGTGAATGTTAATGCATTTTCAAAAAGTTCAAAATTGTGTTGCCAAGGACTTTAATTTTCAATTGTTACATGCTGTATTATAGCAATTCCTTTCTCAAAAATACATTTGTGATTGCCTCAAATTTGTAAATAGCACAAGAGTTAGACTTTTAAAATGTGACAACATGTCATGTCCTTAGCCAAAGCATAATTTAAGTTGTTTGCAGCGCAAATCATTTTT